GTATATTGTGAGGGAGTTTTGGGTACACGATTCGGTAGAACGCAGGCCTCTATCGAATAACTTCGACTGCCCAAGTCACGACTGTTTTCGTTTTCTGGTGCTCATTCGACTTAGCAAATGCATATTGCCTTTCCGTAGAATCTAGAAATCCCTAATGGACTGTTCAGGCGATGTCTTCGCTTTTCCAAACTGCTCTTTATAGCTGCATCCGTGAGCGAACGAATTCAACAGACGTGGCAACACGGTAGACCGCGGAACCTTTTCGCAGCTTCACTCCTTTAGCCAACTTCATATTGCAATCTTGCAGAACCTTTCCGTTCCTCTTAACAGTTCACTTCATACTGCGGTTAGTCGTTTCCTTGATCGTCACTCATGTGTGGACTGTTCTTCGCACGTGCCTAGAAATGGTCTTTTCAGTCTTCATCTGACTCAATGGTAGTTTTCTTAGTACATTATTCGCTTCGCGTTGAATGGCTGTTGTGGGAATTCAAAGCTGACGTGCAACACCTCGGGCACATGGAGCTTTGCTCATGCCATGAGCGTTGTGGATTGTTGCGAGAAACGCTTGCTGTTGAAAACGACCGGAAGCGACAATAACCTGAAAGCGCTACGTAACAATTCTGGCATCTGGGCCGCCGCACAATTTCGACGGTAATCGATAATTGATTCGGTGGGCCTGTGAAGTGTGTGTGTCAAAATTTAGTAAACACCCTGACACATATACTGGGCTTTGGCAATAGAGGCCTATACAAAGACCTGTATTGGCAAATCCCACTATATCAGCATGATTTCGTTCATCTTGAGAGCTTAATACGCTATATAAAGAGTATTAGTTCTTTCTCTTTTCTCAACCCTTCGCCACTTTCGCAACTATTATAAAAAAAGTAATGCTCGGGTTCAACCTTCTTGAAAAAGTTCATCTCGTGGATAGACGCGCTAGGTCCGTCCCTGCAGTGATCGCGCCACTTTCGCGCCTTACTGAAACGCTGAGAGCTTGGGATTTGTATCATCCCCCATCCAGGAGCCGTATGCTGAATGTTGGGATGGGACGGGGATGGGAAAAGGTTGGGGAGGTTCGTCGCAGGACCCACTTTGGCAACGGTCGCACCTTTGATTTTGCAGCTTTGTTTCCATTCCTTTTACTGTTTCTGATTGTATATTCGCTCGTAAATACCTTTCTTCATCCCAAAAGCAGCGATGAAAGAATGGAAACAAAGCTGCAAAATCAAAGGTGCGGCCGTTGCCCAGTGGGTCCTGCGACGAACCTCCCCAACCTTTCCCCATCCCCTCCCCAACATTCAGCATACGGCCTCAGGAGGATCAATGCCCGCCCACCGCCGTTCAGCATCTTGTCTTTCTCGTAGGATGTGCTATGCTCTTTCAGATCGGAGTTTGTCCCTCTTCACGACTCGCATTATCCCTTATCTCGTTGTCTGCCTCTTATACTCCTCCGCAGTAGAGGGCAAGTGGAGTCCTATTTTCGATGTGTTTGACAATTTCTTTTCCTTTTTCTCTTCACGTCGACTCTCGCATCCCTACTTTCATATTTGAATGGGACTGCCACATCAATTCAATCCTGGACTCTGCCTTTGAACTTAGGTGAGCTTAGAGATGCATGTAGTGATCATTCGGTAGTGGTTCAGTTGGCGTGCTACTGAAAGAGCATTCGAAGGTCGCAGGCTGTTCTCCTCTCAAAAGAGGTTTCAAGATATCAGTCGTTGAATAGAACCTAATAGTATGACTCTAAACGATATCTTGCATGTTCATGCATTTCTGTTGCATGAATACATTTTTCCACTTGTCTGATAATTTTTCCTGCTCAGTTTGGTCACAGTATTGAAATCCTCGCAATCTTGTACATGTACACACAATCCATTGTTGTGTGCAGATCACGCTAAAACATTACACCACTCTTCAATCTAGTCATTGGATGATGGGATGTCAAGCACTGTGCCTTTATAGAGTTCCACAACGAAGGCTGTCTTGCTTGCTAGTCTTGAGAAATTCTTTAAGTGCAAAAAATTCAGAAATATTGCCGGGAAACGGAATGCGCCACATCGAGCGCTGAAACCACTTTGTGAGTTTCACACACAGTCGCAGACGTCCGAAGTTGCAGGAAAGTCTCCGACACGAGATTCAAACTTAAGACTACAATTTTGCGATGCCCCGCACTCTGAATTGCACCCTGAGCGTTTGTTTTCCAAAAGGTCCTCCACAACCCTGCAATTTGCTTTTTTTGGCGACATATTTTTCTGTGGTTAGTCTGCAATTACAAGATGCATGTTTAAGGTATGTGGCGCCACCCGATTCGATGCACATTTCTCTTTCTTCACTATCATTTTGCCTGACCTATACCATTTCCGCTTTCAATGCAACCAAAGTAGAACATATGGGATCGACCACGAGCAGAGCCTTCAGCGAATAGCGCACTGATGTTTCCCTAATTCGGACATCATTCGCGCTGTGTTTCAAGAGCGAGTAAGTGGTCGGCCGCCTCTTCCCATCGCTTGCCAGCCAATAATCCTTGGCCAGTCTCGAGTGTTCGTGTGTCTTTTTCTGCTTTTCTCATCAGTACAACGATCCACGACTTTTCATCGGAAATGGCACGACTCGGTTCTCTCTTCTTCAACAAGTCGCCTATACAGGAGCCTTCTGATACTTCTTGCGTTGTGGTGCTCGTATCGAGTACCAATTTTCTCGATTACGTCCACACATGCTTGCCTGGATACCTTTTTGCGCTGCACTGCGCCCACTGCCTACTTCTCTTGCCTATTCTAAAAAAAGGCTGGTCTGAATGCGCTATCCTTCGACATTTCCCCCTTTATCGCTATCGAGTAGAGTACTAGACGCGATGAGGGAGTATTGTATTCTACATGCATAGATCTTAGTTCAATAGAATTTCCTCCAGACCCGTCGGAGTGGTGGAATTCGTTCCAGACCAGCGGTTGCATCTTCGCTGTTGTGTTACATTCACGTTACACGACAACATCAGGGACAAGCTAGTGCTCTACCGGGATTTCGAGAAACAAACTACGTAGCTCTCAGGCGGGGGTCGCACACCTCTACTCCTTATCAATCTTATTTGGAGCGATCTTCCAACGAGAATAAAATTAGCATGGAATTCTTGGCACCACTCACACTAGGCTGGTGTCATATCAAAGATTTTGCTGGATTTTTCACTAAACATGTCCACGGGAATAGTTTCACTCGAAGGACACAAAAATCACATCCCTTTGAAGAGGAAATGTTTGGCTCGGAAGCTTAACAACCTGGACCGTCGAGCTCTCTAAAACTTGCAAACTTGCAGCAAATGCCGACGAAATGTCTTTGTAGTGGCTGCGTTGCGCTTCCCTCTCAACAAACATGGTATTCTCTGTGCATACTACCTTGATGTCACCGATTTACTCAAATCTGTCCCATGGCCAGATTTTTAGAAGGCATAGTCCATTCCGAAAACTGTTGCAGGTAAGAATAGTGGTGCTACCCGATAATCAGGAAGACAACCTTTCAGTTTCTTCAACTCTGCTACAATTGGATTTCAATATAAAAAGATACCGTTCTCAGAAATATTTCTGCCATAGGTGGGTAATTTTTGGAGACTTCTACTATTTCTACAGAGACCTTTTGATACAACCTCGGGTAGCTGCTGACAATGGCCGTTTGGATGTCACCGGCCGAAGGGACCGCGCACTTTAGACCAATGGTTTCCCTATGACCGTTACATTTTCTGTGGTATTTCATTCGCCAAAGCAGCTGCACTTGAAGATCCCAGGTTAATTCGAAGTTCATCATGCACAGCTTCGTAATAGCGCTGGGTAGTTGGCGCGGCGCCGCGTTCGATCGCATTCTGTAGTTGCTCAAGTATTATTTTTTGTTTTCCTTCGAAAATTCGACTTCTGCGCATCTTTCTCCCGTCGAAAGATGTCGACATTGGTTTGGCTCATCACGAAAACAGTCCCAAACGCTCAGAAAGTCCTATTTTTGAGATTATCACCTCATTATCGAGTTGATGTATGCATGACATCAGCTAGACAGTTTCCGAGAAAACAGTCAGCTTTCGCGGACAGCGTGTTTAGCGGGTCAATGAATAGCAGTCTTATTCCAGAAGCGAATAAAAAAAGTAATTCCGGTAATATTCACTGGATTCAATTTATGCCCATTCACTGGCTATACTTGAATTTCTGTGGCTGCGGAAGAAGTACTGACGCACTAAAGCGCACCTCTTAAATGAGCGAATAGTGTAAAAGCTAACAAATTTATAGGGAAAATGTTGGAAATCAACCATATACAGCACATATGCTACATATATTCAATATGTGTTTGTGGATACAAATCATTTCCGAAAAGGGCTCCATGGTTTCTGAAACAGGCTGGGAGAACAGCTGAAGAAGGTTGCACTGGTGTCGCATCCTTGCGAAGCAAGCTGCAAGGAGTGCCCTTCACCCGTCCGTCTTGAGCAGTGAAAAGCTGCCCGCGAGTTCGCTTCGTTAGTAGATATGGCGCGCAACGAGCACAAATGGTGGATAGTCTGAATTCTGGCACGATGGTCCCGCCCTTGCAATAGCCCCAGTGATTACACCTGGAATCATGATCACTCCTCATGAAAGAAGGTCTCTTCCTAAGAGCTGTATGAAGCTTTACATCATCTTACTTAAGAACCAAGATGTACTCTATCACCAGAACTCGATCGATAGAAACCCGTTCAGAAATGATGAGACAACAAATTGGAAGATTTCATCTCCGTGCAGGAGTAGCAGCTTCTTGAGTTATGCGCAACTGTAAGAAATACTTGTGTAAAGTCCACGAAGTAGTTGATCTCTTCGAAATCTGACCCTGGGGAAGGCTTGGGGCGAAACTGATACCTCTACTTCCTGCGACGCAATCGCATCTTCGTCACTGTGTTGAGATCAAGTTATTTTTCAATGTTTCTACAGTTGGCTGTTTCAGCCCACTTGATGAGTTTCCTCGAGTGAGTCACAGCATTTCCCCAACCAAAATGTGCCCACAATAATCGTTTTCGTTTTTACTCTCTTCGGCTTCCTTCTGAAATGGTGCCGTTCTACAGTGGTCTATTAACGCGAGCACCAAGAAATGCTGGAGGTCAATGTCGTCTCATTCCGTAAATACGGCCATTACTGCAATATGTAGTACAGCTCGAACAATAAGTGGAGTATAGTCGATTTATGTCGACTTCCGAGGAGTTCTTGATGGCAGTTTTTGAAGGAGAGAAAATCGCTGCTCGCTGCTAAACTGCAGCTCCTACAGCAAGAAAGGCTTCGCCCACTTGACTCACTACATACATAGTATAAGTGAACTGGAACAGAGAACCAAGCGTCATTGCAGGTGAGATATATGAAGTCACTGTGAAGCCCTGTCTTCTCTGACATTACGGCGCTGATTCCCATCATCATTTCAGTGCTTGTTCAAGATCTCATAACTATTGGTTGTAAAGGGGTTATGAGCGAAATCCAATCGTCGCACTGGCCCTTTCATCGGCCCGAGCGTCGCCGAATCCTAGCGCTCGCTAAATCTACAGCGAAGTCAAGTAGCTTTATTTTTCGTTTTGTTTTGCAGTGATCACGTCCACCGTTCCTGTGCATTATCAGTTTGTCAGTGATCCTCTCGCCCTGGACTCACTGCAATTGCGTCTTTTTTGTGCCATGATGAGATGGCAGTGAGCCCCCATTCCTTCTGCGACGGTTCCATATATGGGTAACACTGAAGCTGTCTCAGTAGTACTCGAAAATCCGATGCGATTCCCTTGATACCTTCACTGTATTACTGTTCTAGTTCGTTATTAGTTTTGGTGCACTGATCCAGAGTCGCTGGCTCCAAGTGCTGTGACAGGAAGAATGCTTGCTGGCGCAGCGTGTGAATGTACGCGACCATTGAACTTTTTGTAATTACGTGGAATACTACAAAGAGGGACAATCGCCCTTCCGAGCACGAGCGATTCCCCCTAAGCCACCCCATTTCCTTGGGAACGCGAATAATTGCACACGTCGCTGAATAGAGCCAATTTCCATCGAAGTGCGAACCTGAACGCAGGACGGCGACTTGAAAGCAACAACTTCCGCTGCGCCCTTACTTCCCAAAAAATGAGCGCTCAAGTCGGTATTCGCATGAATGCGTTCTTCCAAATGTTTGTGCATGTGTTATATATTTAATGATGTGAGTAGGGACCAGCGCTAACTAATCTCCTGAACTGAGGCCTGCACAGGTACAACTTTATCTTCTCCCCCCCCCCCACCCTCCTCTGCCTCGTTTGTACTACATCATCCCTCGCCAGCATCTGATTTAGGAATCTGAAAGTTCCTTCGAACGCGACAGCGCTTTGCGCTCCTGCCGTGGACCGACATAAGGAAGGTCTCCTTTCAATTTATTTGTACACTAGAGCCGTATCCGAAGAATTTGAAAAGCTCCAGCAGAGGGGAGGATTTCAAGACCTTTCACGAATTTTTAGTGATCCGATACTTACATTTTTGGCTATTTTCATGCAAATTCTCCACTACCACTCATTTCCAGGGAGATTGAATAGGCTCAGAAGAACTGTTCCTCTCCTAGTGCGCATTGAGGCGCACTGTTGATGCTGCTATACTACCCTTATTCTCTGAACCATTTCGTATTGTTACTGTTGATGTATTTGCTTCGCATTTTGTTTTGTCACGATTTGCCGGGCTTCAACTCACCGTTCTGTTTTTTTTTCTTCTGATTCCACCAAAGTCTTCATGACGCGCATAGCCTGCTGTAATTGTGAGGGAAAAAGTGAGTGCCCGAATATTGCTCGAACTCCTTTTCAATTTCAGCTAGCCCGATGTGGTGATGTGGTTGTTTGCTGCATCTGTTGATGTGGTCGACAGTGCGAGCCGAGGACGCGTCCTTCGTCCCCCTGACAAGGGCGTTTCTCGATCGTCTGCGCAACGAAACCTACTACAACCGCTATGCAACGCCCACGCAGTACGACGGTGAGACTTCGAGTGGTTCGAGAAAATATGATGAATGATTCGAGCTGAGGGGTCACCGACCACGGGGAAATCTCGTGAACCGAGGCCACATGAGATAGCGCTGCGAAAATTCTCGTTGAATGAAGATGAATTGGCCTGCCCCTGAATTCCACGCATACAGGGTGCGCCATGAATATGGTAACAAAGCAGTTATGGTGTAGAAACTGCCAACTGGACCGGAACGCAAAGAAACTCTGCTGGTATTCACATTGTGCTGTCTCGAAAGAATAGCTGCAAGGTCGTCAGATATGTGGAGCCTCCGACACCGTACAGGGACCATAGAAACTTCGGTGCGCTTAAGGGGCGGCACGGAATGCAGCAATTGGGCAGGCATGTCGATTGAGGTAGTGCGTAGGTTCGACAGCAAATAAAAATTTTCGTTCTGCAGACTCAATCTTCCGCTCTCTAACGCATAAGTGCCAACAATTTACCCTACCGAAGATTATTTTACGCCTCAGGGAATGAGTTTTCGCACGAAGCCCCTTCAACCCTCAAAAAATGTATTGTGCATGGATTTTGAGTGAAGTAGATCGCAAGCGTGCTGTCTCGCGTCCTGCATGAGTTTGAGTGGTTAACTTGGTCTTGAAGCTTTTTAACTTCGGGAGACAAGTGGCTTTTCTTTGCTTTGAGTGTGGTGAACAGGACCTGGCCCGTTTTTGGTTGCTCCGAATAGAAATAAACAGTAGACAAGCCATGGGTCACAGCTCTCGGTGCCATTGCCTGGATCCCGGTTTATTAGAGATCTCTACCAAATTACTTATTTGAGTGGGATCCATTTCGGTATGCACTCTTCATTGGGCAGCCGTACTACATTGGAAGCGAGACATAGTCGTAGACTTCTAAGAATTTGTTTCAGCGTTTTCTTTGGTCGTTGACCACTTGGCGTCCACAGTGTGGCGCTCAATTTGTATTAGGAAGGGGTGTTTGGTTTGCTAAAGAATTGTTGCAGTGGCAAGCATGCCAAATTTTCCAAATCAATGTAGAATTTTGGAACTGCGGACTTTGTTTGTAAAAGTTATGCCGAAATTTGCAGTTTTAGACTACGTCCGCGAACACGGAGCAGGTGACGAGTTTATGGTGTTTTGCATCCTAACTGCGTTTTGCTTTTTCGCCACGGCTTTCGCACTGACATTCTCTGCTCTAACACTTCAGACGCCATTCCCCAGTCGTTTCTTACAGGGAATACTACTATTAGCCCGTGCCTTCTTTGCTTTCTGCCCAGTTGTTTGATTGGAAATGATGCTTTATATGGCGCACCACGGTTATAGCATCAGAACTGAACCAAACTCGGCTAGGTAGTGACTGTGGGATTGAGATTCAACAGTGATTGCGGTCCACAGAGTGGAGGAAAAGGAAAACTTACATAGGTGTGAAATCGCTTATGCACGTTCTCATTCTCTTAACCATAAATCCTAGCAGCTCACGGTTCAGATCGACTGTTTTCCATCGCGAAATAGCACATATCAATTTCTCAGCCAGTGGCACCGCCCACTACACCTGCATACAATCTTCGTGAGACTAGTTACCTAACAACATGTCATTCCACGAATGCTAGAGGAAAGGACTGCTGCTATACGAGAACTTGCCCTTAGATTGGTCCTGTAGTGAGTTGGCTAGACAGTTTCGCTGCAAAAAGTTGCGGGGCGGGATTGATGAATCCCGATGTTACCACGGCTGCCTATGACGGCGTCTTGCGAATGACGACACAACAGGTGTCTGCGTCTCCCTCGCCGTCACGCTCTTCCATCTTTTCGACGTCTGCACTCTCGTCACAGCGCTCTTTTTGAGCTCGTAGTATGTTCGTACAATGAGCTGAAAACAAGCAGCAAAATATGCTTCATTTAAGATATTCGTCGTAAAATGTGACTTCAAGTGAGATGCGTTGAAAATGATTCGCGTCTGTTGTGGATATGCCTCCATCTCAATGGCACCCTTCTTTATGCTGACTGCTATAATCGCCAGCCTCATTAACACCAATAACCTCTTAAAACCACACAAACAAAATAACAATGCAAGAAGCTCCTCTGACTGATAGATTTTCCCCTGTACTTTGCACAAGCTCTCGTATGGGTTCCGTTTATATGTAGTCATTGCGAACCAGCACTGCTTTCAGCTGCTTTATCGCTTTTTCGCTCAGAATTGTTCCACCAAAGGTGTAGTTCTTTGTAGCACAGTTCCTGCCTTGGTAGAAGAGGTCTTCTCAGATTGCAGTGCATGAGTCGTATAACTTCGTCAGGCACAAATTAAAATGAAGAAATTCCCAACTGAGGCGAATGTAACTGGTCTCAAAAATTACGGACGATGCACCCAAATTAAGCAGTTGTTGCTGTAGTGTGTTTGTGGTGCATACGGAACTACAGTGCGCTCACCCTTCAGCTATTCACAACATGAACTTTTCTATGGGTTTTTACCTCCTTTCGAAAAATCCCTTTGACTGATTTTTCGAAAACTTCCAAAAAACCTTGGAAGACCTCGAAATATTCGTCCAAACAACTGCAGCATAGCGTATCAGTCATGTTGACAGGTTGGGCAGCACCAAACTTTTTTTTTAGTTATCCTGTGCTGTGTAGAGCGGCTTTTGTGGATTTTCAAATTGTTGTTCGTCTGCCTTCTTTCACACCACCTTGCAACGAGAATTTCATCACAAATGCGCGTTTGGGCGAAAACTATCGCGGCTCGATCCTATACTCCCCCCCTCATGGTATTCGGGTAGCATTTATTCTACCGGGTGCATATTTTGTATCGTAAGGAGCCGGTGCCCGCAGAGAACCGTCAAGCTGAAAGCCCGGCAGATGGCGGTTCAAAATAAATTTGGTTCTTGTTATTAGCTTCATCCACTCGTAAGGTAGCATTCGCATCGCGAACTGCAGTTGACATCTGAAATGTCAAATATCGTATTACCTTTAGCTACAAGACTAACTATCAAAGTTTTTACATCTTCAACTTGCCTCAAAAGCCGCAGAAAATACTATGTTGCCGGCACTCCTGCTCTAGGGTGTGGAAATATTGTTTGAGCTATAATCTAGAGGAAAAATCCGCAACAGGGAACAAGATCATTTCTTGCACGCAGTCTGCTTCCCACATAGTATAGCCTTTGGAATGTTTTTGAATAACCAAGGCATGGTTTGCGCTTTGAATTGGATCAAATTGATAATTGATTTGGAGACTAAACTAATCAATGACTTTGGTTCTAGGAATCCCAACGAACGTCTCATTGTCCATGTTCATTGAAGGAATGTCTTCGTTCAGCGCTCAGACCATGGACTACCACCTGGACATGTATTTCCAACAGGTCCATTCTGGCCCTCTCTCAGCAGTCACCCACGCAAAAAGCTCGACGGATTTCAGGAGTGGTACGATCTCCGACTGGAGCATAATAACAGTGCACCGATACTGGTAAAGGACAAAAAGGTGTTCGCTGAGATGTGGCACCCGGACGTGTACTTTGCCAACGCCAAATCTGCTTCGTTTCAAGTGAGTGCTCCTGATGGCTTCGAAAGGTACAGCTCATCAAAAAACCTCAAGTGTGGCTCAGCAAAGGGGGCAACATCAACTGGCGAGCTTGAAGTTTCTCGTTTTATATTGACTCCACAATTTTGTTAGTTTATTTTCATTGGTTCTACGTCAGCTACACAAAAACCTGAATCATATCGTGCGTCGAGCCGATTGGTGGCGAACACCAGCGGCAGACTAAACATGCTGAGATCAGCATGCTCAGCCGAGTGTTTCTTGAAGCTCAATACTGCTACGTGCGATTACTATACGCTTTCTGACCGTGGCTCTCTATTTCTTATGAAAAACTCATTCAGATGCTGCTGCTGCTGCGGAGCACTCTCATGTTCATATTATGAAAGTCCCGAATAGCATTTGCGCTCTGAAATTCAAAAAGAAAACTGCCTTCTACCAACATAACTGCTTCGAATTTCTTTTTTTTCTAGATTCTTTTTGAAAAGGGCTGGGGTAGTTTTCCAGAAGGCTTCCAAGCTTTTTCACCGGTAAAAACTACACGGCATCAGGTGTGAAAGAAATAGTTTTTCAGGAAGTCACTGATGACAACTTTCTCATTTGGGTCTACCCAGATGGACGGGTATGGTACGACACCAGAATTTCAATTGTGAGCACTATTCCGTTTGAGCCATGCATTTCCTCATGAAATCGAAACAAAAAATAGACAAATCCCGTGGTTGTAGTTTAAACATTCAAAAATATAAACTTTCAGGTAGTCTCGTGCAACATGGATTTGTGGAAATATCCCCGCGATTCGCAGCAGTGTCCTCTTCGGATCCTATCATGTAAGTGTTGCTCGGTGTAGATCACTACAGGGTGGTCCAAAATTATGAGGACCGCGTGCGCGCGCAGTCATATCCACTTTTTTCCGTATCGCTCCATTTTCATCTCGTTTTCTGTGCACTATGTGAAAGGGTACAATGTCTTCTTCCTAATGAAACCAAATTTCATGAAGTTCTCAAAACTAGTGAAAATAACTAGTAAACTAAACTCATTCAAAGTCGCTCTGGAAAAGTATCTTGCGTCGTAGAGGTTATTTTTCGTAGTTATTGTATATCTATTAGATTGCTTAATTAGTTTTTTTCTTTCATTGTTTGTAGGACTGTTGATTTGGTTATCTAATTCTACTTGTACCGCATAGGCTTCAGTCTATGCAATAAACAATTACAATTACAACTACTTCACTTTGAGTCAGTCCTCAAATTGAACTCACTAGGGGCTCTGGCACGTTACATCTAGCAGCAGTCTAACCTATCAGAGGAAGCCCTTATGAGCAACAGTTCAACTCTTCAATAAGTTTGGAATCACCACACAGATGGAAAATTCGGGGACTCGAAAGTTACAGTTACCACCAGGATAATTATCAGATGCAGAAACTAGGTCTCCCCTTGTCGACTTTCGTACACCCAAAATGAAAAAATTGATGTGAAAACCCAGCCAGACACTCTAAAGACTCCACATCTGTAGTGGATAGAAAGCCACACGAGTAGTCTACTTGAACTTCTTACAGGACCGAGCACCCAAGAATAAAGCAAAAATCCTCCAAAAAGCGATTTTTCGAGTTCGTTGCTTTCGAAGAATTGTTACAATGGAACCATCCACCTAATAGCTCTAGATTTCTGTATTTCACACCCTGGATGCAAATGCAACACAAAAGTTTGATTCCCTGAAGAAGGCAGAGCAGAAGGCCTGGAAACATTTGACACGCCTTAGTTGCGTGCCACTGCACGCGCCATCGCCATTTTTAACGACACAATGTCTTGGTCCTCATAATTTTGGACCACCCTGTAGTTGGACGACTCCACTAGGGCGTGCTCAAGGTGTGAGTGGTCCCAAGTGGTTCCCTCTATGCTCCTCACAGTTGTTGTCCCTGGAACAGCCACCCATCTAGCAGAATCTTTGCTTTGTGCTTTCACTACTTTGACTTGATTCAGATGCTTATCCTGAAACCGTTCTACGCCTCGTGTGGTCGCTTAAAGATGACATCCTGCCGGTCGATCGGAATCCCGAAATCATCATGCCTGATATGCAACTGAAAGACATCCGTACGGGCTACTGTAACGGCACCTATGCAACGGGTTGGTGCAACACTTACTTCCACACATGTCATTAATTTTGGCTTTCCCTGTGTGGTGGAGGAATTCAGTAGGCAATAGTCTGAATCTGCTCCGGTTCAGCGACCCGAGAATCAATATTCTTCCATTTCCGTTCCTTACATATCAGTCTGGGAAGTACAGTTCAACAAAATTGGACAATTTCCGCGAATGTCGACCCTTTGTGGCTAATTGGTAAGGAATCGTGCCAATAGCGCCGTAACCACGACACATCTGCTCACTTTCTTAACAAATGGTTCCGACAGCAAAAAGAGATGTCGCTCGTTCTGAATTCTCCTCTTTATTCCAATTAAGGGGCTCTGTTGATGATATTCAATATTATCTGGTGCTTCAAGGTGTGTGGAGTTGTATGACGGCGGTGTTTTACGTGGAACGTGAAGTGATGCATCATGTAATGCAAACTTACCTGCCAACCGCTCTGATAGTCGTGATCTCCTGGTAAGCGTCAGTTCAAGCCAGTGCCAATCCCTGATTCCTCGGTGTGTCTTCAGGTTCAACTTCTGGCTCGACGTCGATTCGGCTCCAGCTCGCGTTTCGTTGAGCATTACAACACTACTCACGATATCAACGCAGGCGAATGCTGTCAAGTTAGCTTTGCCAGAGGGTATGCATTCACGCAAAATCAGAATGACCCCAACTGATCACTATTATTCCTCAATCCTTACAAATCGCGCAGCCTGTTGGCCGCCTGAGGTTTTGTGAAAAATGCTCATATACATTTGCCCAGAATCCATGTGGTCTGGGCTGTAAAATTCATTGACAAAGATGAGGATTCATCAAGCTTCACTAGATTGTCTTTTCTACTAGCATTGAATGAATTCTACACCTGGCCACATACCCTTCAGAAAGAAATTTTTATGCTCTATAAAACGTTTTTCGCTTCCGAATCAATTGTTTCAGTATCCTACATGAAAGCGATTGATGTTTGGATGGGATCGTGCATGGTGAGTGTCGACTTTCTATTCCATGTACTTTTCCGGTTCATCTTATGTAGGGGAGATCTTGGAAAAGAGCATGGACTCTTTGTATGCGCGAGAAACCACTGTGAGACTGCAGAAGTTCATCAATCGTAATAACATACTTATTGGATTTCCTCTTCTCAGTTCTTTAGTGGAAAGGGGCAGGATATTTCGAGTTCAACCGCTCAGTAATCTGGATGCTCACCTTCTCGCTTTTATGATGCTTTCGAGCTTTTGCTGTGGCCATCTGCTCACGCTTCAGAACAGAAGTCGAACTACTTCTTTCTTCTTCCCCTTCATAGTTTGAAGTCCAATGCATTTGTTTCGATCTAGCTGCTTCTCTTCGATGGAGTTGTCGTATTTTTATGCTGTTATTTTGCCCTAGTCTGTTTCCGCATTGCGAATTGAATGCATGTGCCGCAAAAGAAATTTTATACCTGTTGCAATCGCTGTCGCCGAAGAACCAAATGGAACAAGTGCACCCACATAAAACCACAATATGCAGGTGTTTTGGCCATAACTCTTTCCGAAACGACCGACCACTGACTGAAACGTTGCTGTACGTGAGATCAGTTCACGGAGGGCTCCCCTCATCCTGCTAGGCATTTTGGCTTTTTTTATGGATCTAGCAGAGCGTGAATTGCTCTGCTCAAAGAACGTCCACTGCTGAGGAGCGAACTTTGTGGGCTCATGTCGAGATGGAGCACTGATTGACGCACTGCTTGCATTCAGGCGTTCGTCTTCGGCGTTATGATTGAGTTCACGATCTGTCACTTCGCGAAGAATCAGGAGCTGCTTCGTTGTGAGCCGCAGCCGTCGCTGATCGTCGACACCGCCTTGTCGACGCTTTTCGGCGCAACCAGGGACATCGACGACTTGGTACGTTCCGCTTTTCATTAAACTTTTCACTTCTGATGCGTGAGGCCGCAGCTATTCCTGGCCATGACCCTATTAAAACAACACATGACGGCCACATTGACTTTCAGTTGAACCCGCATACCACTCCTATTTGGGAAGGGTCAGGGCTAAATGCTGGAGCATGGAAATCCTGATCGGTCACCTTCAGTCGCTGCTGTCTTTTCTAGTGTTCATTTCAGGAAGCCTCATCGGAGCCTAAGACGCCTGAGGTGAATCACTTTTTCGTGAATGTGTAGTACTTCTGAACTCTCGGACCCTGCTCCTCCTCTAACAAACTTGCTTACCTCAGCACCCTGTCACGAAATGAGATGTTTTCCATATCCATCGACAAGATTGTAATGCACTTCTTCATGTGGGAGGCACCTTCTTCAATCTTAAATGCATGTGAATTGACCGTTTCCGTTGACCGATTAATTGTTCCAAATCACCACACCCCATGAACGTGTTCGTGCTCCTGATCTGACATAATGATATCTCGTATCGCATGATCTTTGGTGACTGAACTCCAAACAGACCAAGCTCGGTAGACCTTCCCGCTAAAGTAATCCGAGCAGAGCTAATCGCTCAACTCAAGAGCGCGTCTCCCTTGGATTCCTTTCCATTCTTTCAGAACGACGAAGATGTCGGGATTCCCGCTCAGGACAACCACGTCGCTCTCAACATGCTCAATCCAGAAAGAGCAGAACCACGGTTACGGTCGCTCTCGGCAAACATGAGCACGAATGGAGCCAGGTTGGTAATACTGAGCTCGAAGCAGTACGTACCCTGACTGCAGTCACCAATGTTGTTTTCAGAACAGTATGAAACAGGCGCTGCCAGGGGTTGTCACGCGTTGAACACCACAGATAATAAAAAGAGATTTGAGTCGAAGCCGTCCTTCTAATGTTTTGGTGAATAGAAAACTGCGTTCACCACTTGCTTCGTGTCTCTCAAGGAGCAAAGTGGAAAAAGAACGTCATTCCGGGTTGAGGGAGTAAAAAAGGCGGGTGATCAGGTGGATTGCTCAATTCCGCTCTCTTCGCCAGATCTATATAAAATACCAGTCTGCCTGGTGATCACCACTGCCCACATCAGACGCTGATGGGAAATATAAATAGATCAGAATAGAATAGTTTAGTACTGAGCTTCCGACCAAGATTGTCAATAGCTTTATTTGGCCGACGTTTCGGTGCTTTCACCTTCTTCAGAGCCTGGAAAAGTCGAAAGCTATTTAGGAAACTACCCGTCCAAACACTATTTCAACCTACAAGATTCATTCAACAGGGAGTAAACTACTAAATCAATCCCCCGCGGGGTCTTCCTGACGGGGGCGGGGTCGGGGGCTACTGCATAGTAATCAATAATAAGGGTTCAGGGGGTTCAGCGGCGCGCCTAGCCTCGAGGGGTCTTTTGGAGTGATTTGATCTACATGATCAACCCTCCGGAGGTCCCTAAAGCAAATGACCTGAAGGCTTTACCTATTTAAGCCGCGTTACTACCAGCTCGGGGTGGCAGGTGGACCTCTCTGGCCAGCATCTCTAAAGGTTCGTTCTCATCTCCCTCCATGACATCGTTTTAGTAGTTTACTCCCTGTTGAATGAATCTTGTAGGTTGAAATAGTGTTTGGACGGGTAGTTTCCTAAATGGCTTTCGACTTTTCCAGGCTCTGAAGAAGGTGAAAGCACCGAAACGTCGGCCAAATAAAGCTATTGACAATCTTGGTCGGAAGCTCAGTACTAAACTATTCTATTCTGAAAATATGCCAAGATTCATACAAAGTCGAACTTGGACACTACTGAAAAAAAGCATTTTTACTCAAGCAAAATATGAGCCTGGATAGATTCGAGTT